TACACTTAATCTCAATACTCGCGCTAAAACAACACTGTAACGAACGAACGTTAACTTCAACAATACCCTGTGACTGCAGTTCAATTACTCACTATCTATCCACACATTACCTTCCTCTCTTTTATATACGAGTCTACCCTCCATCTAGTAATTACTAGAGCATTCGCCAAAATACATGATAGTTCTAGAAACGTTGCGTCACAGTAGTCACGTGACTCGCTGACGCAACAATATCATACATATACTGTTGTAGATACAGCGTTTCAGGCAATGCAGTAAATGCGTAAAGGAAAAAGTTCTAAATCGAAGATCGTGTGACAATATATCAAATAAACGTGTATAACAATATTTACAAATGCTTGGATACTTCCTTCTGATGTATCATTCCAAACCTGTTGGATAAAGCAAATGAAGAGCTTACTTTAAAGATGCACATTTCATTTGTTTCAACCTAGTTATCGTATCTTTTTCTTTTAATATCTATAAATTGGTCATATGCCAACGTATTCATCATTTAAGAAAAAACACCCAAATAAAATTATTTGGCAAGCCTTTCTAAGTCTTCCACAAAGTTCACTAAGGTATCTTCCTTCCTCCGTACCGTGTTTTGGAACTTTACTCTGGATACATCCTTGTTTCAAGCGTTTGTAAACATTATTATACACGTTTATTTGTTATATTTTCACGCGATCTTCGATTTAGAACTTTTCGTTACGGATTTTCTGTTCAGCTAGATATACCTGAAGAAAGCCATTGCCCAAAAACATTGTATCTACAACAGTATATGTTATAATTCAGAGATCAGACAGTATCAAAAAGCTTCTTTTATTTGCTTATTTAGTTCTTAGATAATTTTTTATTTATGAGTTGTTTATTAATACATAATTTACATTTTGGTATTTTCGGCATTTTGCATGTGCGCCAAATCTTACCATTTCAGCACATACAGTATTATTATCTTTGTGTAATTGGACCACTTCCATCGGTTAATTTTTTTTCCTATTATTGTTAATTTCTAAGATCTCTGGTTATGGCAGTTATTTCAGCTTCAATTTTCATTGGTATTTTTCTCTTTTTTTCTTATTTATCGTATTTTTTCTTACCTATACCATTACCTCCTTTCTAAATGTCTATTAATGAATTTTAACCTTTTATTCCTCTGTGTATGAACCAGTACAAATTTCAACAAGGCATTTTATTGTAATTCATATGACCCATCAAATGCTAATTAAAGTTAATTCAAATAAGTTAAATGATACGAGTCCTGGGATTGCTACAGAGGTATCTAGCACTGAATAAACTGTAGTGTGGTTGACATATTACCTTCTCTACTTTCATAAATTGTTACAAAGTAAGAAATTACATTTACAATTACATAATTATTCAACATATTGTGTTTGTGGAAAAACAACAACAATTACCACATTCAAGTATGGTTTTAATTGCTTGACTATAATACTGTTCTTCCATAATATTCCACTCCCCAAGTACCTCAGTTTTATGGTCCCTTTGTTTTTAATCTCAACAATTTCGTATGAGCCTTTCCATGAATGCCCCAGCTTATAGCCTTTCTTTGACAGTTTCAACATGTATTGGTTTATTTGTCGTGTGAGTAGAACCACTCAATACATAATTCACTCTTTATAAATAATCTTACAGTTTTGAAATTAGTTTATTAAGTATACTTAATAGGAAACTGGCCGAATTGTGCAGGTATAATGTGATCTAGCCACCATCCAAATTCCATCTCTCTATGTAAACTACTTCTAACAGTCGAAGTCTGATGATCGATGATTTATATCAGTCTATCTGTCGTGTTAGCTGAACTTCTAAATACACAATTCAATCTTTATAAAGACTTACGGTTTTGAAAGTAGTTTAAATGAGTGTATTTAGTAGGAAACTGGCCAAATTGTGCAGGTGTAATGTGTTTTAGCCAACCTCGAAATTCCATCTCTTATGTATTCTACTAGTACTAATAGTAATAGTACTAGTCTACCTCTGAAAAATGAAAGGTGTATTAGTTTATAATATTGTTATGACAGCGGAAGTCACGCGACGCTGGGAGCATGCCCGCTGGAGTTTCTCAAAGGATCATAAATTTGCCCGGCAACTCTAGTCTGATCGAGACGCCCTCTTTTTAGTATATAAGCCTGACGAGAAAATCCAGCGCGACAGCAGAGATAGATAATTGAGTCAAGAGAACAGTAGGCACGGTAAGTAAAGTGTGTGAATCACTGTGATTTATAGCGTGTGTTAT